ATAAAATTATATTTGTAAAATATTTCTCATATTTAATTGTGAGTAAAATTTTCCAACCTTGTGTAATAAATTTGATGGAGACAAGCAACAGACAATCTGTTTTTTTCTTTTACTTTTATTTGAAATAATGAACATTAATTTTAAAGATGTGCAAGGCTAGCGTCACAAATGACTCATGCTTATGTAAGCAGTCACTAACCAAAGAAAGTTTTCTTTACCTTTTATTACCCAAGAAGCCCCGTTTAATGGAGATCAAAATTAAATTTTTAATAAATTTTGATAAAAGTTAATGAAATATATGGTTGAAAAGTTATGAAACCCATAAAATATGTGGTTAAAATTAATTGTTGATTTTAACTTAAATTAAAATTAAAATTTTTACCAAACAGGACTATACCAAATACCCTATCATAAAAAAGGTGGAAATTACATCTATTAACTACATTTATATAATATTTTAGATAATAGTTTCACTATTTTTTTTATTCATTTTTTACTGCAATTTTAGTAGTAAAAAATGAAAACAAAAAAACCTCCTACATACTAATTATAATGTTTGACAGCACGAAAAAAAAAAGCACTATAATATACATAATTCAGGAGATGTTGTGCAAGATGATGAAATTTACATATGTAAATTACTAAATTCAAAAATCAATTATCAATTGAAAACATTGTAAATAATCAATAAGTGAACAAATACACGGTGCAAGGGAAGAACAATAATCTGTAATATCATATTCGAACCAGTGAAATCTATCCTAAACAAAAAATTTACTTCATCAACGTGAAGGAAATATTATATAGACATTCAGATGTTCTAAAAGATGGCAGATTGCAATTGAATGTGGATGGATTTTCATACATCAAAATTGTATGATGTTGAAAATAAATTATTTTATTGTAAAATCTGAAATATTATATATTTCAAATACATTCCTAAATTTTTCCGTAAAAAAAAAAAAAAAAAGGTTAAAAAGGTGTAGGTAGAACCAATTAAAAATTGAAAAAGCCCACAGTGGTCATTGGGCCCATAAGCCGACAATTCTCCCCTATAATCCCTGCACGTGAATATAAATAAGGGGTTGTTTCATAAAGTTTGTATCTAATTTTAATAAAGTCGATGAAACATATAGCCCCTATTTGGTAGGAGTCAAAACCTAAATTTTAATTTAAGTCAAAGTTAACAATTAATTTCAACAGCATATTTTACGGGTCTCACAATTTTTCAAACATAAATTTCATCAACTCATATCAAAATCTGCTAAGAATCTTGGCCTGTTTGGACGGATTAAAATTTGATTATAATCTAAATCAAAGTCAAACAATCAATATTAACCACATCTTTAACGAGTCCCACATCTTTTCAACCACACATTTCAAAAATTTCTATCACAGTCCACTAAAAATCTAATTTTAATCACAATCAAACACCCCCTCTGATTTTAATTATCACCAAATAGGACATAGTTGTAAAGTTGATAAAAGTTATAGATCACGTAAAATATGTAATTTAAAGTAAAATTTGATCGGTCAAAAAATCGATAAAATACTAAAATTTTTTAGTACATTTTTTTTATTCTTATCTTATCGTGGTTGGCTGTGCTTGGATGGATTTCTCATTTTTAATTTCCACTTGTCATTTTTTAATACTGCGGAAATTTCCATGCACGTTATGTTAGCATTTGCCATTGATGTAAACTTTGAGCCACATTATTTTTTTCATTCGTATTCTTCTACTCATTTTTAACTACACATTCTTCAATAAAATAATATTTTCCATCGCATCAATAACTTTTCCTTCTTTTTCAACCACATATTGTCCATCACTTCAACAGTAAAAATACATTTTTTTTTTCAAAAATATGCACCAAACGGGGGTGTAACTTAGTAAACTCTTCGTGATCATACGCTGAGTATGGTATCTTTCATCTCGATTTCCCTTTTAAACATCCTACTTGAGAGGGATTGAGTTAATTTTTTGGACCTCTCAAGTTCAAAAAGTCTATTGGCTTCCTCACAATCAAAAGCGTTCTCAGTATATTCCATTGTCCTCGAAAAAGATTTATCATACTTTTTCATACCAAATGTCATATTGGTCAAATCACGTCAATTAATTGTTAGACAAAGCCAAATCTCATATTGCTTAAATCAACATGTTAAACCAAGCTTTTGTATTCAATTATCTTGATAAGACATTTGGTCCAAGGACTAAGAACAATAATATTATTTGGAAATTTACA